CCATTCCTAATGCCCAACGGTGGGCAGACACTTTCTTATTCGGATCCAGGAACACCATAGAACCTAAGGCACACCATGCAGGAATGTACAGGATGTACAGGAAGTCCCTGTACATCTCACCAGTATCTCTCCTAAGCAAATAGCTCCAAAGACACCTCTACCTATACTTTTCTGTTTAGAAACAAACTCATTGCAAGAAAAGCTAAGCCTTGCTCTGTGACTCATAAGACAATGAAAGACTTGAAGTTACAAATAACTGTGTCACCATGATAATCAAACAGCTTTAGAATAGCTATTGGAAACAGCAGAAGCAGCAAGCCCAGATTCCCCACCAATCAAAATTTATTTTTTTGACAAAGAAAGTAACCTCCCCTGTAATTTAGTGTCAAAATTGAGGGGGGAGGGCAGGATCAAGAAACAATGGCATACTTTTTATTGCTTTTTGTAAATACAGGCTATGATTTAGTTGTTTCAAAATCATCAGTTATACAGAACTATGTAAATGTGAAGATAATCACATTTATATAAGCAAAGTTAAACTCCCAGAGGGGACTCAGGGATGTGAGAAAGCTAAGGTGTGTGTGAAAAGTGGATGGTGACTCCAGTGGATCGGAAGGGGTGGATGGCAGGCATGAGGAAGCTAAATACTTGACTACTTTCTGCCCTTGAGAAAGGATTACATTCAGATGCAAAAGATGAAATTCGTTGACTTTTCTGAGCCCTCGTCTTCCATGGCTGCTTCCCGTGGACTTTTGTCCCCCTGAAGGGGCCAGTCCCCACCTACCCCTCCACAGCTCCTGAGCACCTGGCCAGGATCTCCAAGTGCCCCTCCCAGCCTGTGGCACACAGCAGGATATCTGCCACTCTAGCCCCCTTCCTTCTCCTCTAAGAGGATCACATGGAAAAACATGATTTCCCAACTCTTTAAGTGAAACGATTGATCGTTTTGCATCCTTCCTTCAGAACCTTCTCGTTTTTGAATTAGGAGGATCACCAGTGTGCCTGCGCCATCCGCCCCAGCGCGTGAGTTGAAAGAGGGACTGACTGGACAGCTGAGCAGGTCTTCCAGCCAGCTCAGCTCATGGCTAGGAAAAAAATAGTAGCTAACCTTCAGGACAACTCTCTCAACAGGACCCCGAGGAGCCAGATGTGGCCTGGAGGTGGGAGGTACCGGAGAGGGAAAGTGAACGCTCCTGGAGGGACGGAGGTGGTATTTTTCCCCAGGGACCGTGGGACACTCAACTTTTCCTTCCAAGGCTGTGGATTGCCCAGAGAGGCAAGCAGTTCTTCCCAACAAGTCTCATTTGAATACATGAAAATGTGAGTTGATCTTGGCAACGCGAAGCTCTCTCACAGCCAGAGTGACAGTTTTGTGGCCCGCGGGCGAGGCCAGGTGGGGAGCAGCTCCGGCTCAAACATCCGGCTGCAGACGAGCCTGGATCCCGGACTCCAGGGACGTTCTGAAACCTGGCGGCAACTCAAAGAGCAACAGAACACGGAGCGGACAAACTGGAGGCCTGTTTTTGTTTGCTTCTAATAAAATAAGCGAAAGCCCGGAATATGCATACCTGTGACGCAAAGGCACACCTGGACAGGTGTGCGGCCTAGAGCAGTAGAGGATTTGGCCTGGACCTGGCAGACAAGGCCTGTAGGGTGGTCCCAGAGCTCTCACCTCCTGGAGAGAGGTGAACTGATTCCTTAATGAGGATTTCATGGTGGAAGAGAGATTGAAAGGAACGTGTGAGGACAGAAAGAAAAAAGAAAGGCAGTGAAAGGGCAGGAACCCGAACACTTGCCCTTGGCATCAGGCTGGTTTGGGTAGGAGTGGCACCCGCTGGCCAGGGCGCCACGGGTGACCAGGGCAGACTGCGGAAGGCACCCAGGCTACCCACCCCCGCAGCCTAGGGCCAGCTTAGGGCTGCACCTAGCTGCTGCAGGCTTAGCTGAGAGCACCCCCTTGCACTTGTTCGTGCGGTGCCCTGGGGGTTCCAGGTGCGCGAGGCTGCGGGGGGGGGGGGGGGGAGCCTGGGTGACCAAGGCAGACTGCGGAAGGCAGACTGCGGAAGGCAGACTGCTGGCCCTGGGCTTTGAACCCAGTTAAAGTCTACAGGCCTTGGTCGCTTTGCGTCTAATTTCCGCACCCCCCCCCCGCCCCGCCCCGCACGAGGAGGACTTAAGCTTCTTATCTAGTGGGGGGTGGGGCCCGCGGAGAAACCCGGACCACCTAGCACCGAGCGTGACTCAGGCCACTGCGGCCTTGACTTGGGGACAGCTCTGAGGTGAGAGGTAGGTTCAGCGGAGAGGGGGGTGGGGGTGGGGGGCGGCAGACTGGGAAGAGCCAGTGAGGGAGCCCTCAAGAGACCCCAGCGCACACCACAGAGGAGGTCAGCGGCCAAAGTCTACTCCCTGATCACCTCTCAGCTCAGCAACGCAGCAAAGGTCCCTAGCACCAGAAGAGGCACCAGCTGATCTCAAGACCGGATTCTATGGCCTTTTCTCCTCCTTCAGCCCCACGTCCTCTGTCTCTCTGTCCCATGTTCGCTGCGGGAAAGTCCAGGTCCAGTCTGGGAAGAGTAGGCTAGCTTGTACTGTCCATAGCAACATCAGCTTCGAGAATGGCAGAGTTGCTTCCTCAGTTGAAACGGAACCATCTTCATGACTGCTCTGGCCTCCTTGATTTACCGCTTTAGGCCACCCGGGACACCTAGGCTGTGCCCACCCTCATCACCCTGGCAAGTTGGGCCTGGGGCGCCGCGGAAGAGTCCACGTGGCTCTCTTCCCTTGAGTTCTCTTAGTTCTCTCAGCCCCTCTCCGCCCCCAGGGCTGAAGTCAGTTTATTTGCCTTGTTTCTCGATGGCATAAGGGCCTATGGTGGAAAGGTGTTAGATATGAACAAGGAGTCTTGGACTCCTAACTGGGGACCAACTATGCAGAAAGCAAGACAACAGCCCCTCCCTCCTTCCCTCCACCGTGTGTGTGTGTGTGTGTGTGTGTGTGTGTGTGTGTGTGTGTGTGTGGTATTTGCACAGTCAAAGACCTGGAAAGAAGGGACCCTACCTTTTTACTTTTAAGCCTGGGGAAAACTGACCTCTTGGAACACGAAAACCTCACCAACTGAATTTGTTGGGTGTCCAGAAAGGCCATCAACAAATACAGGGAAATAACCCAACTGCTGCTTTTCCTTCTCTGTGGCTTCAGTCAACTCAGAATCAAAACCCTGGTTGCCTGACGCCTTTCCTGGTTCAATCCAGTCTAGCTGGGCGGAGGCGCTGTGTTTGAAGCTATTGGGCCACAAAGCGGAGAACATCTGGATCCAGGCTTTAAGGCGGGCAGAGTCCATTCTGTGCCACCACTCTTAGGTTTTTAAAGATGCTTTCGAGAGACGTCACTGTGGCCCCACACTGTGAATGCCCTCCCTTCCGCCTGCCTTTAGGTAGACTTGAAAGGGGGACTAAGTAGATTTGGAGAACAGGCTCAGAGAACATGGGATGTTTTAATTACCTTCTTCCACAGGGCAGGGCAGCCCTCCCCCAGGTCATCAGCTCTGTACACAGCACACAGAGCTAATGCTAAGTTGTTACAACCCAAAGGAAATGTCTAAGTCATGCTAGGTGTTTTAGAAGAGCCAAGAGGGCATCAGAGAACCAACCAGGAAGGAACAAGGAAGCTCCTGAGCCCTGAAAGTCCCAGGACCAAACTGAGGAAGCTGAGCGCCTGTGCTTCACCAACGGAGGTCCAGCTGCCGGTGGGAACTTTGCAAAAGAATTAGTTTCTGACACACACTCGCAGGTACATTTACACAACTGATGGGGTGACTTCTAGTCACGGGGCAAACTGCAGCTGGGGAGGGTTGCCCGCTCTTCTGAGTTCTAGGTGGATTTGATTTCACTCTCATTCCTTTGCTTATAGCATGATGTCTACACACACACACACACACACACACACACATACGCGCGCGCGCGCACACACACACATGCACACACACGCTATTTTTGTTCAGAAAGGACTTGTAATCCAATGCTTTTTATCTTTTTTATTTCCTTAACTACACATCTTCACCTCTGCTCCCCTGCTGATTTAAGAGATTTGTTTGGTTCAAGGATTTAACGTGATTCTCTTGCCAGGTTTCAAGGAAGAAAGATTTTTAAAGAACAAAGCATGGGGTGGGGGTGGGGGGGATCTATTTGGAAGACAAGTGAAAACACATTCCTTCAAATGAGATTACTCCCCTTTAAAAAAAACTTTGCAAAACAAGAATGTTTTAGTCTCTTGGTCACTTTAAAGTTTATTTTATTGCTTCTAAAGGAAATCTAATAAACCTACAGGCTGGCGCAACACGCGCTGGGCCACCCAGTCACATTTCCTTAGAAACGCACTCGGTGGTTGCACGCGTCCACAAACACACAGTCAGTCACCCAGAGGCAGCCAGGTCTCCGAACCTATCACAGACTCCCTCCATCCAGCCTAATCTCTTTGATTAGTCCCGCAGGACGCGAGGGCGAGCCACCCCCTAGGAAGAACTGGAAGGAAGCAAGGGACTTTAAGCTGGGGACAGAATTTTCCACAGCCGCCCGGCACCCTCTGAGACACCCTGGCCCCGCTCCTCCAGGTGGGAGACGACAGGACCACCGCGGGCCGGCTCCGGCTTCAGGCTGGCCGGTCTACCGGGGGCAGCTAGGTCCCAGCACCCCGGGCCCTTACGCTCCCAGTTTACGCCGCGTTTAGGGAGACGTCTCCTCCCCCTGACCTTTCTCTATCAGAAACCAGACGGTGGCTTCCAGCTCGGTCCCGGAGGCGGCAGGAGGGGGGCGGGAGGAGGGGCCCGGCAGAGAGAGGCAGGCCCGACCAGGATCCGCCTGCCCTATCACACAAACATCTGCTCTCAGTTTCTTCCTCTTTCTGGTCGCCCGCAGATGACAAGGGGAGTGGAGCGGACTGAGGCGGAAAAAAAAAAAAAATAGAGTTATGTCATAAAAATATAAAACGGTGCCGTGACTCACCTGCCCTTAGCCGCAGGTACGAGTTTCGTGGCAGCGCCTCCGTCCTGCCGGCCGCGAGCCCAGGTCGGCCCAAACGTCACTCTCTGCCGGGTTGACTCAGATGACCGGGTTTCTAGTGACGAGGCGAAAGTGGGGCTTTTCCCCTTCCAAAAGCCCGAAGCCCGGGAAGTGGGGTTGGCCTCCCAGGGTTGAACTTTGGGTCAAGAATCGGGATGTGGGCGGCGAAGGAGCCAAAGGGGCTAAGGACCCCGTCGCAGCCAGGTCCGGGGGGGTGGGTGGCCTCAGGGAGGGACCCGGGGTCACTCCGAGAGCGCGGTCCCCGCGCTGGGGCTCTTCTCCGGCAGCACCCAGCACCCCTCCGCTGCACAGCCCTGGCCTGTCCTCCAGGCACCGCCTAGTTTTCTTTCTTTCTCTCTCTCTCTCTCTCTCTCTCTCTCTCTCTCTCTCTCTCTCTCTCTGTTTTTCCA